TTAAATCCGTTAGCTGCGGTTTGTTAGCGACATATATATCGATTTTGCCATTTCTATGATTTTGTTAGCTTGTGTCGTTAATTCATTTAAACCAAGAACTTCATTTATTGCTAAAATTACGTGTATGTTCTTGCAATTGTTCTATAAACTTTGCGCGCTATATTTTGTCTACCTGCTTATAGATTACGTGAATATTGCAAAAAACACTGACAGCTCATGTGTACCAACTAATCTTCTTATTTGCGTAACACTTGACCCTTAATAAGGCTGATACAAGGCATTCTTTTAATTTTGACAATTTCTAAAAAAGTTGGCAATTAATGGTGAAATGTTCTAGTCGAAATGTACTATCCCATATCGATATCGCAATTTATCCTAATACGATTAATAGCAAAAGTGGCTTTGACTTGAGGTAAGAGATGCTTAGCAAAGATAAAGAGTTGTATAATATTTTGAATGGAGAAAGAAAAGGGCTGTTGTTTTTTTTGGGCTTTATCGTAAAAAATAGCTTATGTTTTTAAAACTTTATAACAATTTGAATCTGCTATATTTGCAATTTTGAATTCAAAATCATAATGTACGACCTCAAAAATCGCTAGATTTCGCCCCAATTAGTCTAAGACTTCGAAATATGTATATTTATGATGTATTATGTGTCACTATCGCTAAATGATTAACTGAATTTATTTCTTCGAAATGTAAAATCGTACAATAGATAGCAGACTTTGAAATTAGAATATGATTAGAACATTTATTATTAAACAAATAAACAACTGTTTCGTAGTAGCTTCGTAGTACTTAATATGATCGCGAAATCTTTGCATAATAAGAATATAAACTTTCTTTTTCAGTTAATTGCATTTTAAATTTAAAGAAAAATAAATACTAGCGTAAAAATCAATAAAATATTTGAATCTTTAATCGAAAAGAAAAAGATTAAAATTTTTTCTACTTATAATAAACAAATAATTTTTTGATTGTGGGTAATACATAAATTTTTATGGTTATCTTGCGATAATTATAGGCAACGTGTTGTGAACAAACCATACACATGTATGCAGTCGAAAGCATTTTAATCATTTACTAATGCTGGTGATATTATAACTTTAAAGCTTCATAATTCCGAACATACTTAATGACAAAATTATATTATAGTGTTTTAAAAAGCTTTCAAAGTAAGCTGCTAAACATAATAAATATAATAAATAAAAATCTTTCCTCAATGGTAAAAGTCGACCAAACTGGCAATCATTTATTATAAACAATTAGTTAAAATACAATGTTTCGGCTGTCATTGCGGCCCTTTTCACAAGTAAATCTATAAAAAGTTACATAAAAATAATTATAATTTTAATACATTTCATCGCGATAAATAATTATAAATTCATATACAAAAATATGTTACATACCAAACGTAAATGCATAATAAATTAATACAGTAAATCAAATTCACTGCATACCACCGACAATATTCACCATTGTTTTAATGAACAATGTAGACTTGGCAGAAGTAAGCAAGAAATAAATAGATGTTAACAGTTAGCAAGAATCTTAGTCACTACGCGTTAAGAAAATTGAGACAAACTAATGTGTCTTTTGCAATCTAAAACCTCATAACAAAGTCAAATAAATAAATAAATAGGTAAACATAAAAATAATTTAAATAGCGTCAAGAACACGATCATAAATCCCACTAAAATTCTTCGTATCTTTCTGTAAATTAATGCCTTTATTTTGTTTTTTTATATAAAACATTTCTGCAATTTCTCTTTTTCTTGTTTGTTTTTCTTGATGCAAGATCATCGGAGAATCCCAACAGAACTCATGATCGTTGCAAGTTTGATGCAAACTAACGACTGAATGCAATGTAGTGTCTTTTTTGATATTATTTCTATGTTTTTTGATGCGCGTTTCTAATGTCTTTTTGTCTGTCCAATATACGTAGAATCACAATTCGCACATTCAATTTTATACACGACATCGGTTCTTTTTAAGTTGTCTATCCTTTCCTCTTTTTATCAGTGTGTCTAATTTTTTGGAACGGTATATAATACATCAATTCCATTTTTATTAATGCAACGCGTAATATTTTTGCTCAAATCTCTAATGTAAGGAAACACCATACAAGTTCGCGCATCAAATTTATTTCGGTTGAATTAGCTAAGATTACCGCCAAAAAAGTGAAGTCACGTCCAACGAAATTATAATCTGACTATCGTCAATGTTTTTATCTTTAATAATTTCCACAAAGGACCAACTATCTTTGATATGAGATCGAGGTTTCTTGACTGCATTTTGCAGCATCTCACTCAAAAAAGTTGCAATGTTATAAACAGGACTTCCTACCGTTGAAATTATGATACGGAGAAGGTAACCTGCTTTATGGATCTTTGGTAAGCCATAGCTCCGACACAAATTACCATTCGTACACCTCAAATGTTTGTATGTGGTCTCATTTATGAGTTTATTGTCTAACCAAGATTTTAACAAAAAGTAATTTTTGCGTTCAGTGCATTTAATGGGGTCTTATTAAGTAATCTATAAGTGGAAACGTCTTTCATTAAATTATTCATTTTCTCCACATAGTCTGTCCGACTCATCAACACCGTAACCTGGCCCTTATCTGCTTTGGTTACAAAAATATTTTTGTTTAATTTCAAAAATTTTGAGCATTCAGAATACCTATCAAAAATGTATTTGTCCATGTAACACACATGTTTTTGTCTACTCAAAAACTTGTGTACCGAGCACGCTATCGACAATCTCACATTATTAAGGTTATCCTTGGAAAACTTTCGATGATTGACTTCAAAATTTTTTATATTTTCCAATGCGGAGATTTTCCTATTGTTTTTATCATTTCTACATATGGGCACACCAAACTTATCACCTAAACTTAAAAAATTCATCAATGAATCAGGAACGTGACAATTACTGATATTCACAATCCATTTACTATAATTTATTTTTCTCAATGGATTCCGAACCCCATAATACTTTCGACTGATATATTCAAATTTGTTTTTTAGACGCAACTTCTCACTCTTATTATGTTTATGGAGGATATGTCTATTATGATTAAAAAAGCCGACGAGACAAACTCAGACGGTAAATTCTCAAACAGTTGTTTCTCGGTATAATTCAAATTGACACGCAAGACACGTAATTTACAATTAATATTATATCATTTATCTCTAAGTTTAATAAAGTAACTTTGCTACGATGCTGAAGATGTAGAAATATAATAAAAACTATAATAAAAAATGTTTTCATTTAAAATCTTGAAGTTGACTTTGAATGCAGCTTATCAAGATTGGTGGATAGTTCAGTTGGAAGAGTATTCACCCGGCAAGCGGAAGTTCTCGAGTTTGATTCCCGATTTAGCCAACTTTTGGACCAATATTTTTCTCGCATATTTCTTTACAGAGGAAGTTAAAAGAGGAACAAGGGGAATTTTTGAGATCTTAACCATAGGATACAAATTCTTAGATTTCTTAATTTTCTTACTTAATTTCGTAATAACATCGCGTTTGGCTCTATGACCGAGAAGGAGGAGGTGTATATCGTGTCTTATCAAGATTATTCTAAAGTCAGATAATGTCCAAATGCTAATATATTTTTAAATCCTAAAAATTTATTTAAAACAATTTTTGCTCAAATTCGTGTCTTTCGAAATATTTAATCATTTCAGAACTTTTGACACTCACTGCATATTAATTATTAGTTCCAATAGAATTGAACAATTGATATCACCATTAATATTCATCAAAAGATCAGTATGAGATATCGATTAATTTTTTAAACAATGCAAGTTAATAACTTACAATAAATGTGAATAAACATGATCATATCAACCTAGGGATTTATTGCATATGTATATTACATACATAGAAAATCCTAGTTTGAAAAATAACAGTCTCAATGCTGCAAATATTCTATTTGTAAAATTTATTTAAAATGATAAAGAGATTACATAAAATATATTACGTTTAAAAGTGAGATCATACTACGTATATGGCAAGCGAAGCGTAGCCGAATTTGAGAGAAGCTAGCACTTAAAAATACATATATACATATACACATCAACATAAATTCAAGAGATTTTAGAGCATAGTTAATAATGCTTTTACCAACTCAGGAAACTTTAAATTTACACATAAGAATCATATTAATTTGCGTTAATTATGCTATATGAATAATTACATAATAGTATTATATATTTTTATTCAACGTTATTTTTTGATATGCTATATTTGAAAAGATTGCAATTTACACAAAAATATATATGTATTAATGGAAAATACATAACACTCAACTATATTTAGATAAAGATTATTATTCTATAGCTAATGCACCAAAATCAAATTGAATTACAATAATATGAGAGATTAAAATCTGACAAACATAAATACTATTATTTTGTCTTTGATATATGAAACATTAACATATTTAAAATTAAATAGATCATTTATAGAAGGAATGAACAGGATCTAGATAAGACATGAAATTTATATGCTATGCTATCATATATTCATACTATCTAAGTCCTCCATCCTAATTTCTAAGTCCTAACTACACAAGAGAGAATGTTACCCTTTGAGAATGTAACAATATCTCTGAAATTAATTATTTCAAGTTTATACAAAATGTTAATGGCTCAAAATATCAAAAACCTCAGAAAAATTTCTTGAAATAACGTCATCCATGATGTAAAACGAAAAGTGTTACATTCCCGAGATGCGCAGAGAGATCAAAAATAGTGGCAGACTTTTGAACAATCAAATGCTTGCCTGTAATGCAAAAGTAACATGGCGCCTTCTACATAACATTACGTGCAAGTTTGATTGGCTGCTCCAAATTTGGCCGCCGTCATCATGCGCAATGTAATACCTTCCTTTTTACATCATGATCTTATCTTGAATTTTTTGTTTTTCACTCTTTTTTCTTTTTGTTCCTTTTATCTCTTTTTTATCTTTTTCTATCGTTTCTTCTGCTTAAAGTGAGGAAAATATTGGCGCCAGGAGAGAAGGAATGGGCTAAGAGACGAACTGGAAGCGGGCGTAATCAGGATGACACTGCTAGATAGTAAAATATTGGCCAGGCTGGCGGACGCCAATAAACGAATTTTTCATCGAACGTTTTCGCTTTGATGGCAACTGACGACAATAAAGCGACACTACTACTATCGCTTCGGTTTACATTAGGTCTCCACATTTTGCTTCCTCTTTTTTCTTCTCTCTCTCTCTCTCCATCTTTTTCTTTTCTTTTTTCTAGTTCTTTTTCCCCACTCGGTCAAGTCTTCAAATTTTTTTCTCTTGTTCGCATTCCATATTTCTTAATTGCTATCTGAATCCCAGCGAATCTGATCGATGATACGTGTTTCAGTTTTTCTTTGCTATTATTATTCTATATCAGTGTATTTTTCTATTGCTTCTTTTAAGAGTGATTTTATTTTAATGGATTGAATTTAATAGATGTGAGTAGATAAATGCGTTTTTTCGGTCTCTATTTAGAAAAAAATTATTTTAAGAATTTTTAATTTTTTTGTAAACTAATAAACACACATCTTTTGATCATCATACATTTTATTATTTGCTCGTTAAGTAGGCCTTATTATACCCTTTTTATTATGTTTTGCAATACACGAGCTAAGAAAATATCTCCTAATTTATTATTACGATTTAGATTACGCAGGCCTTATAATGCGTCGAAGTAATTTTAACAAAGAATACTACTCATACAACTATAATTTTACTTTTGTATTCCAAACGTGTAATTTTTTTGTAAACTAATAAACCACACATCTTTTGATCATCATACATCTTATTATTTGCTTGTTAAGTGGGCCTTATTATACACTTTTTATTATATTTGCTTTGCAATACATGAGCTAAGAAAATATCCCTTAATTTATTATTACGATTTTTAATTTTTGTCACAAAGATGAAAATCTTTAAAAAAATTGTAGACGACCAAACTGAGCAAAAATATATTAATTTATTAGATCTTTCTTATTACGTTTCGACCTTTGGTTCAGGTCCTTATTAAATGAACAAACGTTAAATGTTAAATGCAAGATTTTTTGATGCCATTATAATAAAATATGTATGATAGTCATCACTATAAAATTGAATATGTGTGAAAACACGTGTCTCACACACGTGTGTCTACTGAGACGTTTAGCTAACAACAGTTTTTTGCCGAGTTTGGTCGTCTACAATTTTTTCAAAGATTTTCATCCTTGTGATTATATTTACTGGAGCTTTCATGAAATTTTCTTCTTTTCTTATTTAATTTTTGTATTTAGAAAGTAGAAACTATGTGCTTTATTACTTAATTACTTATTTTTAATTAATTATTAATTAAATTAATATTAATTATGTAAATATTTTTATAAAAAATCAATGAAATTATGTTTTTCGACTCCTCAAAGTTAATTAGTTTGATAATTTTTTGCTGCGGTTTCCTCCATTTTTCACTACAATAATGCATATTTCTTAAAGTTAATGATAAATTATTTTGAGTTTTATATATGTTAATAAGTCAATAGTAAGCTAACATTTAAATGTAATTTTAAATTGGTTCACCATTATATAACTTTTACATGTAAACGATTTTTTGTAAAATGATCTTTTTTAATTTAGCTAATTTTTTACTTATAACAACTAATTACACATTTTTATTAAATTTCTAATCCAGATTTAAAGGCCAGATTTAACAGTGCTTTCTTTCGTGTTTTCTAATCCCAGGAAATGTGCTTTTTTATTCGTATAAAATGTATATGATTTATATAAAGCATTGTGATGAGGTTGATAGTTCGTCTGCAGTTTGAGATGTCATATCGAGATAAAAATACGTAAGAAAAACTGTTATTTTACATTTTTCATATAAAATCGAGATTCCCTGGCATGTATTATGCAGTTGCAGAAGCATTTTATATTCTGACAAATTAATGCAGAGAAATCCTAGAAGTACGAAAATATACGACTGTGTCGATAAAACAGATAATCGTGAAGGATCCCCTTAATAATTATAAATAAAGAAGAATTACATACAAATTTTAATCTGTACGATTTTAATTTCCGGATATTGATGTTTTGTATATATAAAATTTTGATATGAAGTTCTTGCCATTGCTTAATCTTACTCTTGGTATTTATGCCGTTTAAAGATAAAAACTGATTTTTTGATAGTAATTTTTGAGTTGTTTATATTTGGAGCAGGACTAGAATCAGACAATATTTTAAAGCTAAAATAGATTAGGACAGAGTTTTTCTATCTTGATTTTATAAGATATTTTTGTAGGATACTTTATTTTTGTACAATATTTTGTTTTTGTTAGTTGATATTTTTTAAAATATAACATACAATACACACACACATAGCTTAAATCTCTTGATTGTTCCCAAAAATAACGTAAAAAAATATTCAGTTCTGGTATATTAATTTTTTGATTTTATATAATTATTTAATAGGGAGAGTATTAATTTTATTTCAAGCATCTCCCCTAATAGTCCCGTAATCTTATTTACAAAATTCCTGCTAAATATAACATTAAAGCATTAAAATCTAGACTAGTGTTACTAAATAAGCATAAATGACAAAAACAAAATAGCACAATTTGGGCATATATTAAAGATTAATATTATTTTAGAAAATACATAATTAAGTAAAATAAATAAAATAAGAATAAAATAATAAAAATAAAATAAAATAAAATTTTAAATAAAAAATAAAATTTTAAATAAAATAATATGTAACAAAGAAAAAATACATAACAAAATGCGATTTTAAGAAAGTCTTACATTGTATATGAACAATAACGATTGTATTCTTATGTTCAGACCAGCAGAATTAGGTCGAAGAAAAGGGGGTAACAAATATCGCGAAATCAGACGCTTTTTGAGACGTACGATTTGGGTCAAACAAACTGTCAATTAAAAAATAGGTCAACAGTCGGAAAAGTCGATCTTATGCTGTTTATTTCAAACATTTGCTTAGTCGTTCCTTTTGATAAGAGAATTTAATTTTTTTATGTAGCACAAAACTAAAAATACAATCTTTAGCTAACGGGGAGAGGGGGGGGGTGGGTTAATGAACAAGTATTAATTTAATCATAAAGTTTACGTTTATTTGTTGAATTCAAAGAAATCTTTTAAATTTACATAATTAATATTTGATAAATAAATGATATTCATTAAAATAACTAAATAATCTATTATCTAATTTCTGTGAGTACGTATGTGTGTGTTCATATCACAATAGTACGGAGAACGTCAATTAGAATTAAGGAGAGTAAAGTATAACAAGATAATTAATAAGTCTTGATTAGATTTTTATAATTTTTGATTATAATAAAAATAATTAAGAGTTGTATAATTATTAGAGTTGCATAAAAGTGTATCATGTATATAGAAAGATATGTGACTAAAACTACAAGAACTTGATATCTATTGTTGATAAAAGGGGAGAAAGATAGGACAGAAGACATATAAGATCTATAGAGATAAACAAGGGAAATAAAAGATCGAAGGAATATTATTTGCGGCAAACGAGGAAAATTATTCAGAGTCTATGAAGTAATTTAAAAAGAATTCAGGCTAAAGCTAAAAATTTAGAAGATAAATCTGAGGAGCCATCTGTGATTAATGTGGTAGGGAGAGAAAAAAAGACGGAGAATCATTAACACGAAAGTGAGGGGAAGACGGAAAGAATTATCGTGAAGAAGAAAAAAAAAGGAAATACTTAGAGAGTTATTAGAAAGATGTTTATAATAAGGGGTAAAGAATGAAGGACTTCTCAGAACTATATTGTTATATTAAGATTAATAGGTGAATAAAAGGATGAGAAAATGGTGAATTAAAAGGTAATATATTTTTACTGTATATATTGTGGACATTGTGGTAATAGCAATTTTAATTAATTTAAAAGATTTTATTATTTTATTAGGTCATCTTTATCTATTAATAATTATAATATTAAATTTAACAATATTATATAAGATATAGATTTAAAAAAAATTTAAGTAGTTTAAAAAAAATTTTTAAGTGTGGAATTAAAGATATAAAAATGAATAAATAATCTTAAATAATTTTAATTAATTTATATATTTATTTATTTTCATATTTAAATTATTTTTGAATTTTTTATTGATAAGATTTATTATAAGATATATAATTATAAGATTAATGATAGAATAAATAGATATAAATACGAAAGCCTTTTTCCGTTAGTTTAGCCACCTTCAAATTTATATTCAGCGACAACGATTTGTATCCAACTAGATGATGGAATTAGGAATAACACATCCACAAACTAGATTTAACAAGTTACACATTACCTATATGCTAAATAGTTGTGACCATATAAGTTGTCTTCTTCCTTCATGAGTTTATAAACATAGTTGTCATATCTAACAGGAGAAACTTACTGAACAAGATGCGGATAATCCATCTGATTTATATATAGAGAATAATACGTATCTCTAGTCTGATATTATACAGTTCTCGTAAGTGTCGGTTCAGTAGTTGTTTGAAGATTTCCCTTATTCTTGTAGAGGGTCTAATGCTTAAGCATTGTAAGCTTCTATATAAATCACCCTTGCAGTGCTCTTATTTGTTCGGATATTCCTCTCATTCTACTTAATTTTATGTTGTTTTTTAGACTACGCGCTGAATTTTATTAAAAAATGTAATTTAAAAAAATTTGATTTTTTAAAAGTACTATAATTTCTATGATTTTATGGATTTATGATTTTCGAATATTTATATCTTAAAAATGATATTCCTGAATTAATGCAACTCGCCTACTAAATTTCGCTTGATTTATTTCTAACTTTTCATAATTTTCCTAATGTTAAGATTAGGGAAAGAAAAGAATCTTGAAGTTCATAGGACATAATAGTATATGTATATGCTGTTGTGTACATTGTACATATATGTACGTACTATTATTATACATATGTATATCATCCATTATAGCTATCTATCATTGCACCTATCTATTATTGCAACATTATCGATTTATCAGCATGACTGATGAAAATAATTTGTAGTAGAGAAATTCAAAAAGTATATAGACATTCATGATTTTCAGGTGGTTGGCTTACAATTAAAGCACTAACTATTGCATTAATCATTCTTCAAAATATATTTGTTGTTTAGCTATCTTTTACTGTAATTTTAAGTCAATTTAAAAGTTAATGAGTATTCCGTTGTCTGATTACATCAAGGAAGAAATGTGAACAGTACTTATATATATATATATATATATATATATATATATATATATATATATTATAACAGTACATATATATATATATATATATATATATATGTTTTCTTTACTTAGAGGGATTGAAACCTGTAGAGATTATTCGTAGACTATAACAGGAAAACTGTTGTTTAAATTAAAGCAAGATCTATAAATGTATAAATTGTTTTAAAAACTATCAGATTTTTCTCTACGATGAAGAGTGCAGGTAAACTTTCCACTTCAAAGATATGCTTCAGCAATATTAAAGCAGTTGATCAAATAATTCATGATGATCGGCAAGTCAAAATTTATAAAATTGCAAGTGAGTTGAATATTAGCTACCGTTTTTTACTCATCATTTATAATCTATACTAATATATAAAGAGGTAAAGATTGTTTGTTCCATTGTTTGGGGTAATCTCAGAAACTACTCAACCGATTTGGAAAAATCTTTTACGGGTGGATAGTTTAGATTTTCTTGAGTAACATAGGCTATATGCAATTATCTTGCAACTTCTAAAAATGTGCGTACAAAATACGTTCTTTACGCTTTATATTTT